CATGTTATAACTAACGGTGGAACCCAATAACCTATCTATCGGAAGTTTTCCTAAAAATAAACATTCTATATGAGCTTCATGTGTCAAATTCCCATCTAATAAAAAGAAACACATATACATATACACATAACATATTATTGGTCTTACCCGTAAAAGAACAGCAAGTATGAACCGATATCTGAGTTCTACTCAACAATAAAAAAATCTTTGTTACATTTACCTTACATTAATATTAAATAAAAACTTATTAAGCTATTGCTATTTTATCCTTAGTTCTTATTATAGGACCTCTTTTGCCTTTTTAGGTGATAATTATATTATAGACTCAAGATATTTGCATTTGATGTACTCACTTAATGACAACGAGTCACACTGCGGTAGGTAAAGGCTAGATTCGCCTTTGTTTCTTTCTGGCTTTCTCTTGACTATTTATCTAATTAAAGTAATATTACATGTTATTTATTATTATCTAATAAACTAATTTTACTCTTACGTAATATTATAAATGTGAAAGTTTAGATGTTTGGATGGATGTTTGTTACTCAATGACGCCAGAACAGCTGAACGGATCTAGATGAACTTTGGCATAGAAATATGGTAATAGTCTGGAATAGCACATAGGCTTTTTTATCCCGGAAAAATGTACGGTTCCCGTGGGATAGATTTGTATGTATTGTATACAATTACGAGGAGTTAAATATCAGTTAAAATAGAAAACGTTTATATCTATTAAAGAAATAGAATATTGTACAATAGCAATTAGAATTTTGGTTTCTACTCCACTTTAGTATTCTCCAATAAGAGCTGGTCGTCACATTACTTGTATGCCTGGACGCCTAACAGTATAATGTATGTTACTCTAGGCCATGTCTATCTATTTAGTAAATTTCATCAAAATCATACCAGCCAATTCAACGTAAAGACTCACAAACATACATCCATATATAAACTTTCGTATATATAATTACAGAAATCCAGTTATTCGATATTCTAAAACGATTCTATTGGATGATCAATACAAAAAATCTATATCATGAACGATTACAATTAACATCACGCCATTTCTCCAAGATGGCCAATTTATAACACATAGCAAGTAACTAAACAATAAAATGTATTACGTGTTTACACCCGTTACTTATATTTAAGCGTCACTATTCACGGCACAAATCGATTCGAAGCCATCGATACAACACCCATTATTCACCCTATAAATTACTAATCAAATCTATATAATAGGCCGCGACTAATTTTTGAACGGATCATTTGGACATGCTTTTCGGTTAAACGATGTAAATCCGCTGGATATACCTCGTTACAGTTTTTGTATATTTTTAAACTGAAAAGATAGATTGATGAATTATTTTGAGTTTAGGGATGTATTTTTTTTTTAATTTATATTAACCCTTGAGATGAAAGCATTGGGTAAGGCAAAAATTACGAAAATTAGTTCTCAATTGGCAAAAAAAAAACGAAAAAACAGATACACCCATATAGAGTATATCTCGCTTTTTTCGACTTCCGTTATTACTTTTTTTCTATCAACGTATATACGTATATACATATATGTTTTATTCGTTTCCAATTTTTCGATTCTTTGACCTATTAAAAACTGAACTTTCAGAAAAGCTTCACAGCAGTTAGCTTATTAAATTTGCGCGGCTGAATTAGTTTTAATAAAATATATGGTAATACCTCAAACCCTAAAGAAAGACATTTTGTTTCAAAAATATCAATCTAGCATTATTTAGATTTACATTGTACATATATACTAAGAAGATATTTTATTATATCTATGAGAAAATAACTTTTATCATAAATAAGTATCACTACCTAAACTCTAAAGTATTATAAATATAAACGTTAAAAAAATAATTATTTAAGTACCTACTCTATGGTAGAGATCCTTAGATATTCAATAGCTACCGGAGGATGTAAAGCCTGGGGCTTTAGATCAGATATCATTCTATAATTGTTAAACCCAAATTTCTATCAAAACTAGGGTTCGCCTAGTCTAAATTCGATAATAATCATTTTTTTATTGATAACACAAACTCATCAATTGCTAACAAACAAAAAAAAAAGAAAATCGGTTGACAAACAAATAAGAAAAAAATACTAAACTGTTTTGTCTTTGTCTATTTATATATAAATATATAATGGGAATGTCAAAATTTCATGATAAAACGATTTCTTGCCATATCAAAAATAAAATATAAAACAATTTCCGTTAAAACGGACAAAGCTGAGTAATATGACTTGTATAAATATATACGAGGAGATAATTGATTATTTAATCAATAATTGTAAACCTTTACACATATGTATGTATGTCTGCAGTATGTTTTCATTTAAATTTTGTTGCTTTAGGCATATACCCTGAAGGGTTTTATAGGTTTTCAATACTAACACTACTTTAAATAATAGGCTTCACTTACCTCGGACATCTTTGCCATTATTCATCGAGCTTGTACAGTGTAACAATTTCGGTTAATGAATTATTTTAATTGGAATTTTACTGTTATGTAAATGTTTATTAATATGTTAATAAAATATTAATTATTTTATTGATTTAGAGAAAGATATATAAAGACTAGCAACTCACCCTCACTCCGCTCAGGTTCGTTTCTAGGTGCGTTTTAACGGTTAGTATAGATTTCTCAAAGATTTCCCGCAGTAAAAAGTATCCTATATGATGAACCCGATAACCGGCTATCATTATATCAAATTTCGTCAAAATCTGACTAGTGGTTCTCTCGTGAGACAGACAGACAAAAATTCTAAAAACTATAGATTCGGCCTCTGTATCGATGGTAATGACTACTTCAATAAGATTTTCAAAAAAATATTTAACGCACAGATTCGACTCAGTTAAAATTTTATTATATGTATAGAAGATAAAATTTAGAGAAAAATTCTATGACATTAAATCATCTATCATAGTATTCAAAACCTATCACATAAATCTATGGTTCCTAAAAATAAGATTGATCACGACAAAGTTACTTTACTGAGTCAACTAGCATATTATAATAATATATTGTGGTTAGAAACCAGATTTATTTCAAAATATTTTGATTGGAAAAAATTGAATAATTTGCAATTTTGTTTGGCAACTGATACAATAGCTATGTCAAATGAAACCCGCCTTTACTGACAAAACTGTAGAAAAAATCTATATATAAATAGGGAAAGACAAAACTGTTCAGTACCTTTTTCTTCTGTGTTTGTCTATCGATTTTCTTTTTTTTTTTGTTTAATAGTTATTGACGAGTTTTATGCCCGATTTCACCAACGTCACCTAAGTTTAAGGGATCCCCTAAGCATGGTTAGGGGGCTGTTAGGGGACAGTTTCTGTTTCACCGACAGTTAGGGGTCACCTAAATATTAAAAGGCCCCCTAAATTTAGGTGCTAAATTTAGGGCCTAAATATGGGCTTAAAGACGATCGTAAAACGAAATTTAATTTAGGGGCTAGTTTAGGGGACTTTTGTTCTAGGGATCCCATACGTAGGTGGTAGCTTATGGGTTGTTGGTGAAATCGGGTATTAGTGTTTTAAGTAAAAAAAAATTGGAAAGAGTTTTTTTTTATATAATATGTAGTCAGGTAAATTCTATTTATATACCTATGTTTTCCTTAAATATTTAAAAATCATACGAGAATGCCTATTCTCTAAGAACACATCCAGTTACTCTATCAATATATATACAAAATACCAAATTAAAACGTACCATTACTTCAAATGTTTTCAAATTCGAATATTCTTTTAGCAATCGTAATGAAATGCGTTAAATTTTTGATGTTTTCATATCGTTGTCATGAATCGATTTGTTACGTGTCTCGATTTTTATAGCCTTAATTGTTAGATATTTTTCCGCTTATGAATAGAAACTGTGAAAAAATGTTTTACATAAAAATTAATTTGTATTTCGTAGCTACAGTTTAAAAAGATTAAGTACGAGTTATTGCTGAAATTAACATTAGATATAGCAATTCATGAAACTTTATAACAATTTGGTCTTATTTAAAAAATCTAATAATATAATACTATGTGTATTGCTATATTTTAAAAGTCAGTCACTATACTTATAAATAATTTATGGTTTTATATAACTTAGAGTTTCTAAGGATTGCTTAAAATTTTGTTTTAAACGAAGTTTGATGAAGAAAAAGTTGCCATAAGTTTTTTTTGCATTTGTCATTCTGTTGTTTTTCTTAGTTTAGTTCAAAAACTGGAGAAGTTTTTAGTCAGTTAGTTAATCTGATATTATTTAGTGATACATACAAAGAAGCTACTGATAGGTACCTACCTACCTATATATCATGCTTACGATGCACAAATTAATTATATTACTAATCTCAAATGTGTATATCCATTTACATAATTATTTTAAATATATGTTAAACAAATAGTACTAAAACCATATGAATGCGTGAAAAGATTTGTTTTGTTAGAATTTAAATAAACATCATTCATCGGTCGTTTTTATAAATGAAAACATTTATATAAATGTTAAATTTTCGATTATTAATCGATTTTTTCTATTTTTTGTTATATTTTTATGAATTATTATACAATTAATCTTTTATGTGGTATATATTTAACTTTATTTTAACGGAAATCTACGATCCATGATTTAAAATGTGGTTGTTGTGGTGTGGTGGTTGCATAATGCATATGTCTACCTATATCGAAAAGTTTTATATAATCTCTATAATCTATTAGGAATTGTAGTACCTATATACATATGTACATATGTACATATGTAATGAATAAGTGTTTGTTTATCAAACGGTTTGAAACCGAAAACCTATAATATAATTTAAATAGTAAATTCTATAGGTATATTTTATCATTATTTTGCCTTATGCGAAAAAATGTTTATTCAAGCATTTAACTTAATTTTAAAACATCTATACTTTCTTTCTCCTTCAAACTCTGTTTTTCTACTTTTTACTTACTTAAAGCATTTCAATCTGTATTTTAAAACAAATTCTCACCTTTTCCCATTCCTTCGCCTTCGTTTAGTAGCATACACGGTACCAAGTTGACTGGTGTGAGGTTGCGGCGGCCGAAGCAGGCCAGTGTCCACGCATCCTTCAAGAGCGTAGCCACTCTGCCCACCCCAGCCGCACAACTGCAACTTCGAATCAGCAGCTATTTTGCCGGTTGCTACCCCCCGCGAAGAATCCACTCTGTTTGGCGGCACGGTGCTTATCACTGTTATCAATCAATATAACATAATTCTACCCACTATTCTATGTTCACAAACACAATATCTTCACTCACTGCTGGCTTTGTTGATCTTCATGTTTTATTGTTTTAGTTTGTTTATCATTTTGTTTTTAAGTTTTAATATTGGCGTCAGTTGTTGCTTGTATTGTAGTTTATTGGTATCACTTTGATAAATAATATTTAAATTGTATGTAAATTGATAGTAATTATATTATTTTATCGATTGCTATATTAGCAATGATGCAAGCACAAAAGATTTTCGAAGACTAGGTTAAGGTTCGTGTACATAATTAGTTCTGAGCTAATCAGGAAATTGATTAAATCTAGCCTCGATTTTGTTTTCGCTCTATAGAGTTATTGATCCGTTGATAAATACATCCGTCGGTATTTATATTTAATGCTCGCTTTTGGCAACTGTTTGTTTTGAATTATATAATTTTCCACTTGAAAACTGCAATTTGTTTGTAAAGTAACAATGTTTTATATCCACAATGTTAATAATTTCAAAATAAATTCAGACATTAATAACCACTGTTAGTAAGTGTCATATGACGTTTGGAAGATCTAAAGCAACTAACGTTTGGAAGATGTGGTTTTTACGCAAAATAACCGAAATCTAAACAGGTAACAACACAACACTATTCAATACACAAGTCCATATCACAATACACAAATTGTTTACCACAATACTGTCTAGTTCAGGACTTTTTTATTATTTACGTGTTTTTGTATTCAACGGCAGCAACGCGTGGCGTTACCGCCAAGCGCCTGTTACGATGTGGCCGGTTATCTTCAAAGACCCCTAACAGTGGTGGGCGGGGCCTACGCAAGCCACGCCCACCCATCTCAACCCACCAATAGAAACCCCCCCGGCGTCATCAAAGCGCACACTGGGACGTACTAAGTTTTTATTTTGAAAGGAATTGTACGATTTCTTTTGCTTTACTTTTTCTTTACAGTTTTTTTCGTTATCGAAAGTAAATTGTAAGTATGGATGTTAATTACATTGTATGTGAATTATTCGTATGGAAATAAATTTTATATTTATTAGGTTATAAATATATTACCGCGTCGCATTACAATAAATTGTTATAATGTATATTTTTTTAAATATTATTAAATTAAATATTTTTTTATATGAAAAAAAGAGTTGAAAACATGTTATAGTTCAAATACGTCCCCGGTCAAGTACAGTGACGTCACAAAATGGCTGCCACGTAAGGGAGAGTTTTCGCATTTTCCCCTCGACCGTCGGCTCGAACGGACTCAACCCAAATTAGTAGGTCATAATGTGTTTTAAGAATTCAATAGATGTTTATTTTATTTTTGGGCGGAAAAAATGTAATTGTATTAAAAAAAACCTTAGGTAATTTCTGTTATTATAATGATTTTTTGTTATTATTTATAAGTCTTTGTAAATATAGATTATTTAATACGTATTGCACTTTTATTGCTCGACTTCACTGCAATATTCATTTAAAAAGTAGTGCTTAGTTTTGATACAGTTATAATTCGTTTTTTTTTTACTTTTGGAGGTTAATTTTACATGACATTATTTTATATCATTGTAGTTTCTTTTTTCTAATAAGACTATATATTTTTTTAGTAGAGTATAAATTTCAAGTGAAATAAGATTGCAATTAAAAAAAGTATTGACTCTTTTTAATTAAAATCTTATTTTAGGTACACTAGTTTTTGCTTATTCTCGACAGTGATACTCGTATGTAAAAACTATTCTTTATAGGTTCTTAGATAGGTACATCCATATATATATATATATATATATATATATATATATATATAATAAAATTCTGAGTCGAATCCGTACATTAAATATTTTTTTGATAATCTTATTGAAATACTCATTATTATCGATACAGAGGCCGAATCTATAGATTTAATATTTTTGTTTTGTCTGTCTAGGAACATATCACGAGAGAACAACTAAACCGATGTTGACGAAATTTGATATGATGATAGCTGGTTATCCGAGCCAACATATAGAATACTTTTTACCGCGGGAAAATATATCATCTCTGAGAAATTTATACTAATTGTCAAAACGTACCTGAGCGAAGCGAGTTTGAGTCGCTAGTACCTATCCAATAAACTCCTTTCAAATTTATAAACAATCTTGTATACAAATTAGACACTGGCATACAAATTTGAAAGGACAAGGTAGTCCACTTATTGTAATTTTATTTACTAAGCAGACAAAATATAATCTATATGCGTTCCAAGATATAAATGATCTCCATACCAAATTACACCAAAGTCCATCTAGCCGTTAAACCACACTAACTCACTCAAATACTTTTACATTTAAAATATAAGGATACGTATTGAAATTATGCTGTGTAAATATATTATAAATATGATACAAAATAAACTATAATAATATGATTTTAAAGCTAAAACAGTTTTTTTTAAATAAAAAAAATGATTATTACATATTTAGCCTTGATTCAATATTCTAGAAGTTAATTTCAAAATGCAAAAGACACTAATAATATGTTTCTTGCAAATACTGAATTATTTTAACTTAGATTTTATCTTCGAACTCGTTTTCGTCGACTTGGCGCGGAAGTAGAGCGTTATTTCGTAACAAAAACGCTTTCATTGTGTAAGTGGAGGTATTTATAAACAAATAACTGAAATTTTAACCAAAGAACAATCTTAATAAGGAAAAATGGAAAGAACATCAGAACACTATTGTCACAGGCAAAGTTAGGTATATGCTCTATACTCGTACCTGTGGTGAAAAAGCAATTGCGAAAAATGAGGCAGATTCTTAGCATTAGGTACTATAGTTGAAAATTTTATTAAGGACTTATTTGTTATCATTTGAGTACAATGTAGCTAAGTCTAATTAGTACCAAGAGAAGACCGTACATAGTATGTAATTACAAGCGTACACTACTATATAAAAGCTCCAATAACTATAGAATAATTTTAGTATTACTATACAGTCAAACTCAAAGCCAAGTTAACAACATCGATCAAGCAATAAACAGTAAACGGAGACACGGGCGCAACTAGAGAACAATAACAGTGATTTACACACCGTCCACCGCCCTCGCTCAGTGACATCCCGTAAATCATATAGGAATTGCCGAAAATCACGCATTCATGAATATCTACTCTGATTATGACTGTGGTACAAGTTACAGGCGGATGAAGTTTTGTAATCTTTGTAATTTTTGTCCTCCTGACCAATTTTTGACATAGCGGCCAATCTCACTAAGCTAGATGCACAGGAGATATTATAGTGCACAAGTGTAATGTTTAACTGTCGAAGTCCGATGGGACGATACTTTGTCACAATCAGTGAGAGTTAAGTGTTAAGTGCTCTTTGAGGCACATGGGTGAGACACTGCCAACTTCCCAACTCCGGGCTGTTACTGAGAATATCTTAACCGAAAAACTCAGTAATCAAACTTGGTCCGACCCGGTCTCGAAACCAAGACCTCTAGATCTGCAGCCGTTCATGCTATCCACTAGACCACCGAGGCAGTTTTATTAGTAAGTATAACATATCGCTTCATCTTATTACTTACCCCAAACGCTCAATAGTAAAATTTTGGGCAAGTGTTCATAAAAACTATTTTATTTTTGTTTTACGGTTTAAATGTCGCATAAAAATTATTTCTAATATAGTTAGCGTACAAAACTCCATACAAGGTGAAAGTGTACGGTAAACAAAGGTAATTTAATATTAGTTTTTGATATAGCTTTAATATAAAATATTAAAAAGGACGCAGATTTTATTATCGTGTAAGGTAACTTTTATGAGCTTTTACGTGGAAGAAGAAATAAAAAAGAAGAATAAGGTAATAGAACTAGATAGTAAAGATTACCATGTTATTAACATACCTACATGAAACAGTCGATAAAAAGTAAGTATGATAAAAACAGTGGTAAGCCCAGTGGTGACGCGCTTGCTTGGCTAACCGAGTGAAGCGGGTTCAAATCTGGGGTCTCGCACCGCTGATATTCTTATATGCGAATTGTTTACAATATGATTATTGATTACCACTTTGCCTTATGGTGAAAGAAAATCTCGTGAGGGAGATTTCCTCAGGCATGTCTGAGAGAACCTAGAAAGTTTTCGAAAGAAATAATATGAAGTCCACCAACCTGCACTTGGCCAGTTTGTGCCCAGCAGTGGGATGTTAATAAGGGCTGGATACAAAAACATTAAATAGGAGGTTACATTATTTTTTTTAAATATATAGGTATACATTACGTTACACGTTAAATATTGATAAATCAATATAAACATTATAACCACACAAATAATATAGCTTATTAGTTTTTTAAATAATTGTTGGAAATCTTTTGTTTATTTATTTAACTGACTTAATTTATTTATATATGTATTTAACTATATATTAGTAGCCTCTTGGCTTCAATTTTAACTTTGCTATGGTAATAAATCTCTAACTATCCCATATAACTTGCGTGCCACCTATTTTACGTTTATGGTATTAGTATGTCAAAAACTTTCCCATTCATCATTGGAATAGTTTAGGCATAAATATATACATCAAAAACAAACTTAGAGTTAGATAACATATATACCATATCGAGTATAGCAGTTTTAAGTTTAAGAATGTAGTGATTTTTTTTGTATATTTCTTTTAAAACACAGTGTTCTGTCGAGTTTCCAAACTAGTTTTAACGAAAATTAGGTTAATATGGCGACTTCATTTCATATGTATTTCGCCTTTATCCGCTTATACTAAAACAAGCTTTTGATCAACACGGGTCTCGAACTCGCGATATGCGTCATTCTAGGTTATAGTTAGTAGTATCTACACATACGAAATTTTAGGTCACATTAGTTCAATGTTTGCTCTAAATTTTATCTAAATCCCTTCAGCCTTTAACAGCAACTTACTTGCAGGATTACAATGTTTTATGTTAGTAGATCGTTTAAATATACCACGTGGTTATACTTATTCAGCAATATAGGTCTTCTTTAATTAATTTGATTTAAATGTTGTAGTGAAAAAGTATTTTTGTTTTAGTTTTATACTATTTTCTTGTTTTAACTACAGTATAGGATTAAGAAAT